CTGATACCGACCGTGAAGCCCCGCAAGGGGGTCGGGTCAGGGGGTTCTCCCGCTAAGAAATTTTAATTGGAGGCCGAAAACGTGATTTCATGGCATTTCAGGCACTTGTGTCGGAGCCATTTAGAAGTACCTCCCCCAGAAAAATAAAATTCTGCCACAAAATTAGCCACAATCCATGCGGGTGCTGTGAAATTTCTAGAGGAGGGAGCTGGAACCCATGAGCCCGTTAAATTCGCCACTGTAAATGAGCAGAGCTACATCAAACCTAATTTTGAGTCCCTCAGTGATAAATAACTTGATTCAAAATCGTATTATAGTCCCAACGACGATTTGATGAATGGAGACCGTAACGTTACGACAAAGTCTAACACTGTAAGTACCAAATAGTCATACGAGATATGTGCATCTCATCAAATTCAGCTTATACCATACCCACAATAATGTTACGGAGTCAGTGAGTTCAAGTTAGACAATACGCTGACCTTCCACTGACCATGCTTATAATATAAAATCTGTCAATGACAGCTGATTCATTGTTTAGTTTTTTATATGATATATTTAATATCAATAATATATGTATATGCATGCTTTATTTTACTTTACACGACCTCTAAAAATGCCCCAAATCGTAAAAATACGACTTTTTGGATTTCGATCTCCTTTTTTCGGCTACCCCGGACATTTTCAAAAAATGATACAATGATTTCACACAACAGGCCAGCTATTAGCCTCTCGATTGACAAGAGTTTCATCGCCCTCCATTCATTATAACCAATGTCATCGTGCCCTAAAGAATCAACAAATCAGCTTGCTTATCTCTGCTTACCCTAGGCAAAAAATGCTCATCTTTGAACTCAATCATGACATTGACCTAGTGAACGCCTACACCAAGTTTGAACATTCTAGCTTAATTAGAAGGAGAGTTCTTGTGTTCCAAAGTCCCGGCCCTTCAAATTGCTTCTATTTTTCATTTTCAATTCAAAATGGTGACCATCACGTGACCGAAATCAAAATTCTGATCCGATAGATTTTTAGGTATTCCTTCCAGGATTCCGAAAATATGACGCCCGAGTCTGTAAGTAAAATAGCAAAAAAGCCTTTTTGATTTTTCACGTTTAAAGATGGTGGCACTTCCGGTTCGATCGACAAACTCCATATTTTGTGTACTAATCAGTAATTACTTGTCTAGTATCGAATTTTTTTTTTAGGTCATTCTGACCTATATTTCGACGATTTTTCTGAAAACTTTGATCCTTAATTTCACCAAGGGGAGATAATTTAGAAAATTTCCAAGGACATCATTGAAGTCGCATTGGCAAGATCTACTAACATTTTAAATTTCACGAAAATCGCACAACTATTAAAGAAGTTGTCAAATTGGTAATAACTTCCGGTTCGAAATGACAGCGACGAATTTTCGAAATGCCAAAATCCGAAACTGCAGATTTGAAGTAAATGTTTCAAGATACTCAAAGAAAAAAGAATTAGTAAAATAGGTCAAATAGTCACAAAGTTACAGCATTGTAGGTCAAATGCATTCCTTCGTAAAATTCGGTGATTTCGGATACGTAAAACGTTTTGAAAATATATTTAATCAACAGCCACCACCCATTTTTGGGGGGATAGGTAAAAGTTTCAGAACGATCCTATGGTTAGATTCTGAGAAATCCGATTTGTGGACAAAACACAAAAAAAAAATAACAATAATAATCTTAACAGAAACAATAAGCTTTCATATGTAATATGAAAGCTTAATAAAGGTAAATGCGATTAAACGTTCTATTTTCCTGTACCATATGAGATATTGAAGACTGTGCTATGGCGGACATTTTCCGCTAAGTACATCCGAGTTGTATTTCAATTCCAAGAAATAGTGGAGCATCGCGAATTGTTACATATTACTTAACATTTTAACTTCTGTAAAAGATTTTTAATGCGAAGCCAACATAGGGACATTTATTAACGGGGCAAAATCTGTGAGAAGGTGTAATAGTAGGATTTCAGAAAGAAAAGACGGCGATAAAATCCTACACGAATCATCTGAAATATGTGCCGCATGGAAAGAACATTGAGAAACGTTAGCTAATCCTATAGACAGTGAACAGTTTTACGACAATTTTCGTGAGACAATTGAATACAAATTCAAAACTCTCTATGAAACCACATATACATTCAGGGATAAGTGTGACACTATACTGGGTCTGGGTAGAACTGTATACTGCGATCAATGAATAACACTCAGTAAACTATGTTTATATATATTGGGTGTCACAGCTCCATTGCTCGCGTTGGAAGAAAGTCGTTTTTTCCCGGTTTTTTTTAACCTTTTTTAAACTTAAAGGTGCTAAGTCTCTAACTCAATATCATCCAAAATCCTCAACATTGAAAACACGATTTATTTGTCAAATTAAATCAACATTCATGTTGTGATCTTACCAGAAAAAGATGGGCTTTTGATATCCAATATTTAAAGGGACAATAACACTCTTGCTGGCTTGAAAGCTCCAGAAAATAAATAATATCTCTATCTAAGTACTAGATGTTTAAATGTCCTACCTGTTGTGTAAATTACATCCTATTTTACTTGTCCAGAGGGTTCGGAAATATTTTTAAATCGAAGTTTTATTTGAAATGGTTTACGTTAGACGTTTCAAACCATTATGTTGAATTTTTAAAAAAATTTAAATAAGGTGTGTTAAGATCAAATTTGTATCATCAATTAATTGAAATATTCTAAAATAGTACAATTTGTTGACCAGAATAAAATTAGGACATATTATTCAGTTACAACAAGAGTGGTATTGAGCCTTTAAGACAAAATAAACATTTTACCATTGGTACACGAATCATGTACCATAATGCGCTTCAGCACCAGATGTATCAAGATACTCGAGGGACGAGGCTAGACACATTGCACCAAATCAAACGGCTTATGTAGACTGGAATAACCAGACGCTAGAAATTTGCACTCGCTTGAGACTGCTGGCTTACTGCGCTGAACATAACTGATTTGAAATTGGAGTAAAAATGGAAACCATTGAATGTAAATCAGTTTATATACATTCATATTACAGTATTATATGCGTTGCGACCCACTATTGTCAATTTCTAGGTCCCAAATGTTAGCGATTTAGCTCCTTTAACGTCACACAGTCCCAATTTAATCTTTTTTAATATTTAAAACAGATTTTGAAACCTGACACCCTATTCATTTGTTTGATATAATTTTTGTGTACCTGTTTTTCTTATTGATTTCATAAACGTAAGTTGAAAAACATCAATTTTGCTTGTTTTGACGTTATGGTAAAAAAAATTGCCACGCTTTGAAACGGCGGTACCCCACATCAAGTGCTCGGCGCCAGTTATTATTATTTTTTTTTTCATTTTGATACCATTAGAAAGATAACTGAATGAACTTTCGATCGGTCGGTTATCGGATGTTGGCTTTTCAAAATACCATGTATTTTTTGTAAGTTGAATAAAGAATTCACGCTCACTTTTTATGAGACAAATTGTCAAAATTCCATAACCGATCGATCGAAAGTTCATTTCATTGCCTTTCCAATGCTACTATAATCAATAAAATCGAAACATGTTAAGTGCTGACGCCGAGCACTTGAAAATGGTATATACCGGGAAATATTGTTGAAAAAATATCTCGTATTTTTCCGTGTTATGACGTCATTAGTCACGGTAAAGAAAAACTGCATTTTAAGTTCCCAAGACCCATATTCACGGTAAATTACGTCGAAATGCAAGTGAATGTTCATTTATGAAGCAATTGTTATGTTGTATGTATAAAGGACTTGCCTATAAATACATAACAATAGCTAATTTCATTTTATTATGTTGTATGTATAAAGGACTTGCCTATAATAACAATAGCTAATTCCATTTTATTTTCACTGACTCATATTCCCGCTGTTATATCGAACGGAAATTTTCTCCCAGCTCCCACACGTCTTTACGTTTTCACACCAAATATTTTTCAACAATTGAAAGATTCCGTAACATTGACTTGTATTTCAGTGTTCTGGAATAAGAAATTCGCTGTTCACTGAATTATTCATGCCTAGTTTAAAGCATTTACTTTGCACAAGAATGGAATTGAAACCGGAAAATATCCACACGGGTCTCGGAAAGTCATCATGACATTCCGCAGCTGTGAGGGAAGACAACTTAAACTTTTAAACGGATAATATATACGATTTCTATCCACTTAAAATGGGATTATACCAAATAAAGTTGGAACAACAAAAGAATTAACGCTAGCTAAGAATAATTTAACTAATGGCTTATATTCTGGATTTACCGTTGGCGATTTACAACATTTCGTTTGAGTTTGAGATGATGGAACCAACATAAAATTAATTAGGCCAGTCATGTCGATACGGACACCGAATTGTCGCAAAGCCGTTTATTAAATGATTTAGCATAAAAGTTGTCATACTATTTATTATAATTTCAATGGTTTGCTTTTAGGGTAAAATAACACCTCAAGCATTATGTATTTGTTGGCCATTAAACAAATTGAAACTACCGACAAACGTAAGGCCTTTACTCTTAGGCCTTGATTTGATATTCACATTGTTGAAAATATACAAAATAAAAAGGAAATTGCTCAATTCGACTACATACAGATTTGAAGGAATAATGAAAATTCAAAAGTGAAGTAAAAACAAAATCTATTCTTTAATCATCGCATTATGACTGTATGACTACTGAACATATGAAATATGGAAGGGCATCTGTGTCAAAATATATGTGTGGCATGGGGTTGAACGTATCAGTGCCACAATACTTCGACCATTTTCTGAATAATGTTTACATGTATGCCCGTTCAACATGCACTTTCCTGCATACTAGCCACTTTCTTTCTGCCTCTCCCCCTCTTGCGCTGTCTCCCTCTTCGTCTGTCTTTCTCTCCGCCTGTCTGTTTCTCCATAATGGACTAACGACCTTAAGGTATACTATCACGGATAATGACCCACAAGTTTTACCTGGGCATGGATTGTCATTGCAGGTTTCGGTATCAGTAGTTTCGGTATCCCCAACACAGTCATTTCCACAATGCATAGGACGTGGGTTCGTACATGATCTAGTATAGGTCAGAATCTTTTCACCTCCTCCACATGATGTTGAACAATCACCAGTAGCAGATAATTCATACTCAGTCCAATCTCCATGAACTGTAAAGAGAGTACGGAAGTAATCTTTAATTTACTTAACAGATAATTCAAGTTATAAAAGTGTTCCACACAACATAGCCCGAACAATAGCAAATATTTTCACGAAGGACTAGAAAGGAAGAGGTCATCATTTAAATCGAAAGTTAACCGATCTGGTAATGGTTAGAATATGTTCGCCAACTCCACATGTTGAGCAACCGACAATACAGACTGGGACAACCCTCCATACAGTGTGCTATGCAGTGTGCTATGGCGGGCATTTTCCACTAAAGCACATCCGAGTTTTATTTCAATCCCAAGAACTAGTGGAGCATCGCGAATTGTTACATATTACTTAACATTTTAACTTCTGTCGTTTTTTTTCGCGATTTTTAACCTTTTTTAAACTTAACGTCACGCAGTCCCAATTTAATCTTTTTTAAGATTTTGAAACCTGATATAATTTTTGTGTGCCTGTTTTTCTTATTGATTTCATAAACGTAAGTTGAAAAACATCAATTTTGCTTGTTTTGACGTTATGGTAAAAAATTTTGCCACGCTTTGAAACGGGGGTACCCCACTTCAAGTGCTCGGCGGCAGTTATTATTATAATTTTTTTTTTCATTTTGATACCATTAGAAAAATAACTGAACGAACTTTCGATCGGTCGGTTATCGGATGTTGGCTTTTCAAAATACTATGTATTTTTTGTAAGTTGAATAAAGAATTCACGCTCACTTTTTATGAGACAAATTGTCAAAATTCCATAACCGATCGCTTGAAGTTCATTTCATTGCCTTTCCAATGCTATTATAATCAATAAAATCGAAACATGTTAAGTGCGCCGAGCACTTGAAAATGGTATATACCGGGAAATATTTTTGAAAAGATGTCTCGTATTTTTCCGTGTTATGACGTCATTAGTTGAATAAAGAATTCACGCTCACTTTTTATGAGACAAATTGTCAAAATTCCATAACCGATCGATTGAAGTTCATTTCATTGCCTTTCCAATGCTATTATAATCAATAAAATCGAAACATGTTAAGTGCGCCGAGCACTTGAAAATGGTATATACCGGGAAATATTGTTGAAAAGATATCTCGTATTTTTCCGTGTTATGACGTCATTAGTCACGGTAAAGAAAAACTGCATTTTAAGTTCCCAAGACCCTTATTCACGGTAAATTACGTCGAAATGCAAGTGAATGTTCATTTATGAAGCAATTGTTATGTTGTATGTATAAAGGACTTGCCTATAATAACAATAGCTAATTCCATTTTATTTTCACTGACTCATGTTCCCACGGTTATATCGAACGGACATTTCCTCCCAGCTCCCACACGTCTTTACGTTTTCACACCAAATATATTTCAACAATTGAAAGATTCCTTAACATTGACTTGTATTTCAGTGTTCTGGAATAAGAAATTCGCTGTTCACTGAATTATTCATGCCTAGTTTAAAGCATTTACTTTGCACAAGAATGGAATTGAAACCGGAAAATATCCACACGGGTCTCGGAAAGTCATCATTACATTCCGCAGCTGTGAGGGAAGACAACTTAAACTTTTAAACGGATAATATATACGATTTCTATCCACTTAAAATGGGATTATACCAAATAAAGTTGGAACAACAAAATAATTAACGCTAGCTAAGAATAATTTAACTAATGGCTTAATTCTGGATTTACCGTTGGCGATTTACAACATTTCGTTTGAGTTTGAGATGATGGAACCAACATAAAATTAATTAGGCCAGTCATGTCGATACGGACACCGAATTGTCGCAAAGCCGTTTATTAAATGATTTAACATAAAAGTTGTCATACTATTTATTATAATTTCAATGGTTTGTTTTTAGGGTAAAATAACACCTCAAGCATTATGTATTTGTTGGCCATTAAACAAATTGAAACTACCGACAAACGTAAGGCCTTTACTCTTAGGCCTTGATTTGATATTCACATTGTTGAAAATATACAAAATAAAAAGGACATTGCTCAATTCGACTACATACAGATTTGAAGGAATATTGAAAATTCAAAAGTGAAGTAAAAACAAAATCTATTCTTTAATCATCGCATTATGACTGTATGACTACTGAACATATGAAATATGGAGGGGCATCTGTGTCAAAATATATGTGTGGCATGGGGTTGAACGTATCAGTGCCACAATACTTCGACCATTTTCTGAATAATGTTTACATGTATGCCCGTTCAACATGCACTTTCCTGCATACTAGCCACTTTCTTTCTGCCTCTCCCTCTCTTGCGCTGTCTCCCTCTTCGTCTGTCTGTCTGTCTCTCCGCCTGTCTGTTTCTCCATAATGGACTAACGACCTTAAGGTATACTATCACGGATAATGACCCACAAGTTTTACCTGGGCATGGATTGTCATTGCAGGTTTCGGTATCAGTAGTTTCGGTATCCCCAACACAGTCATTTCCACCATGCATAGGACGTGGGTTCGTACATGATCTAGTATAGGTCAGAATCTTTTCACCTCCTCCACATGATGTTGAACAATCACCAGTAGCAGATAATTCATACTCAGTCCAATCTCCATGAACTGTAAAGAGAGTACGGAAGTAATCTTTAATTTACTTAACAGATAATTCAAGTTATAAAAGTGTTCCACACAACATAGCCCGAACAAACAATGTTGCTAGCAGTTTAATAGCAAATATTTTCACGAAGGACTAGAAAGGAAGAGGTCATCATTTAAATCGAAAGTTAACCGATCTGGTAATGGTTAGAATATGTTCGCCAACTCCACATGTTGAGCAACCGACAATACAGACTGGGACAACCCTCCATACAGTGTGCTATGCAGTGTGCTATGGCGGGCATTTTCCACTAAAGCACATCCGAGTTTTATTTCAATCCCAAGAACTAGTGGAGCATCGCGAATTGTTACATATTACTTAACATTTTAACTTCTGTCGTTTTTTTCGCGATTTTTAACCTTTTTTAAACTTAACGTCACGCAGTCCCAATTTAATCTTTTTTAAGATTTTGAAACCTGACACCCTATTCATTTGTTTGATATAATTTTTGTGTACCTGTTTTTCTTATTGATTTCATAAACGTAAGTTGAAAAACATCAATTTTGCTTGTTTTGACGTTATGGTAAAAAAATTTGCCACGCTTTGAAACGGGGGTACCCCACTTCAAGTGCTCGGCGGCAGTTATTATTATAATTTTTTTTTTCATTTTGATACCATTAGAAAGATAACTGAACGAACTTTCGATCGGTCGGTTATCGGATGTTGGCTTTTCAAAATACTATGTATTTTTTGTAAGTTGAATAAAGAATTCACGCTCACTTTTTATGAGACAAATTGTCAAAATTCATAACCGATCGAATGAAGTTCATTTAATTGCCTTTCCAAGGATATTATAATCAATAAAATCGAAACATGTTAAGTGCGCCGAGCACTTGAAAATAAGAAAAACTGCATTTTAAGTTCCCAAGACCCTTATTCACGGTAAATTACGTCGAAATGCAAGTGAATGTTCATTTATGAAGCAATTGTTATGTTGTATGTATAAAGGACTTGCCTATAATAACAATAGCTAATTCCATTTTATTTTCACTGACTCATATTCCCACGGTTATATCGAACGGACATTTCCTCCCAGCTCCCACACGTCTTTACGTTTTCACACCAAATATATTTCAACAATTGAAAGATTCCTTAACATTGACTTGTATTTCAGTGTTCTGGAATAAGAAATTCGCTGTTCACTGAATTATTCATGCCTAGTTTAAAGCATTTACTTTGCACAAGAATGGAATTGAAACCGGAAAATATCCACACGGGTCTCGGAAAGGCATCATTACATTCCGCAGCTGTGAGGGAAGACAACTTAAACTTTTAAACGGATAATATATACGATTTCTATCCACTTAAAATGGGATTATACCAAATAAAGTTGGAACAACAAAATAATTAACGCTAGCTAAGAATAATTTAACTAATGGCTTAATTCTGGATTTACCGTTGGCGATTTACAACATTTCGTTTGAGTTTGAGATGATGGAACCAACATAAAATTAATTAGGCCAGTCATGTCGATACGGACACCGAATTGTCGCAAAGCCGTTTATTAAATGATTTAACATAAAAGTTGTCATAATATTTATTATAATTTCAATGGTTTGTTTTTAGGGTAAAATAACACCTCAAGCATTATGTATTTGTTGGCCATTAAACAAATTGAAACTACCGACAAACGTAAGGCCTTTACCCTTAGGCCTTGATTTGATATTCACATTGTTGAAAATATACAAAATAAAAAGGAAATTGCTCAATTCGACTACATACAGATTTGAAGGAATATTGAAAATTCAAAAGTGAAGTAAAAACAAAATCTATTCTTTAATCATCGCATTATGACTGTATGACTACTGAACATATGAAATATGGAGGGGCATCTGTGTCAAAATATATGTGTGGCATGGGGTTGAACGTATCAGTGCCACAATACTTCGACCATTTTCTGAATAATGTTTACATGTATGCTTGTTCAACATGCACTTTCCTGCATACCAGCCACTTTCTTTCTGCCTCTCCCCCTCTTGCGCTGTCTCCCTCTTCGTCTGTCTGTCTGTCTCTCCGCCTGTCTGTTTCTCCATAATGGACTAACGACATTAAGGTATACTATCACGGATAATGACCCACAAGTTTTACCTGGGCATGGATTGTCATTGCAGGTTTCGGTATCAGTAGTTTCGGTATCCCCAACACAGTCATTTCCACCATGCATAGGACGTGGGTTCGTACATGATCTAGTATAGGTCAGAATCTTTTCACCTCCTCCACATGATGTTGAACAATCACCAGTAGCAGATAATTCATACTCAGTCCAATCTCCATGAACTGTAAAGAGAGTACGGGAGTAATCTTTAATTTACTTAACAGATAATTCAAGTTATAAAAGTGTTCCACACAACATAGCCCGAACAAACAATGTTGCTAGCAGTTTAATAGCAAATATTTTCACGAAGGACTAGAAAGGAAGAGGTCATCATTTAAATCGAAAGTTAACCGATCTGGTAATGGTTAGAATATGTTCGCCAACTCCACATGTTGAGCAACCGACAATACAGACTGGGACAACCCTCCATACAGTGTGCTATGCAGTGTGCTATGGCGGGCATTTTCCACTAAAGCACATCCGAGTTTTATTTCAATCCCAAGAACTAGTGGAGCATCGCGAATTGTTACATATTACTTAACATTTTAACTTCTGTCGTTTTTTTTCGCGATTTTTAACCTTTTTTAAACTTAACGTCACGCAGTCCCAATTTAATCTTTTTTAAGATTTTGAAACCTGACACCCTATTCATTTGTTTGATATAATTTTTGTGTGCCTGTTTTTCTTATTGATTTCATAAACGTAAGTTGAAAAACATCAATTTTGCTTGTTTTGACGTTATGGTAAAAAATTTTGCCACGCTTTGAAACGGGGGTACCCCACTTCAAGTGCTCGGCGGCAGTTATTATTATAATTTTTTTTTTCATTTTGATACCATTAGAAAAATAACTGAACGAACTTTCGATCGGTCGGTTATCGGATGTTGGCTTTTCAAAATACTATGTATTTTTTGTAAGTTGAATAAAGAATTCACGCTCACTTTTTATGAGACAAATTGTCAAAATTCCATAACCGATCGCTTGAAGTTCATTTCATTGCCTTTCCAATGCTATTATAATCAATAAAATCGAAACATGTTAAGTGCGCCGAGCACTTGAAAATGGTATATACCGGGAAATATTTTTGAAAAGATGTCTCGTATTTTTCCGTGTTATGACGTCATTAGTCACGGTAAAGAAAAACTGCATTTTAAGTTCCCAAGACCCTTATTCACGGTAAATTACGTCGAAATGCAAGTGAATGTTCATTTATGAAGCAATTGTTATGTTGTATGTATAAAGGACTTGCCTATAATAACAATAGCTTATTCCATTTTATTTTCACTGACTCATATTCCCACGGTTATATCGAACGGAAATTTCCTCCCAGCTCCCACACGTCTTTACACCAAATATTTTTCAACAATTGAAAGATTCCTTAACATTGACTTGTATTTCAGTGTTCTGGAATAAGAAATTCGCTGTTCACTGAATTATTCATGCCTAGTTTAAAGCATTTACTTTGCACAAGAATGGAATTGAAACCGGAAAATATCCACACGGGTCTCGGAAAGTCATCATTACATTCCGCAGCTGTGAGGGAAGACAACTTAAACTTTTAAACGGATAATATATACGATTTCTATCCACTTAAAATGGGATTATACCAAATAAAGTTGGAACAACAAAATAATTAACGCTAGCTAAGAATAATTTAACTAATGGCTTAATTCTGGATTTACCGTTGGCGATTTACAACATTTCGTTTGAGTTTGAGATGATGGAACCAACATAAAATTAATTAGGCCAGTCATGTCGATACGGACACCGAATTGTCGCAAAGCCGTTTATTAAATGATTTAACATAAAAGTTGTCATACTATTTATTATAATTTCAATGGTTTGTTTTTAGGGTAAAATAACACCTCAAGCATTATGTATTTGTTGGCCATTAAACAAATTGAAACTACCGACAAACGTAAGGCCTTTACTATTAGGCCTTGATTTGATATTCACATTGTTGAAAATATACAAAATAAAAAGGAAATTGCTCAATTCGACTACATACAGATTTGAAGGAATATTGAAAATTCAAAAGTGAAGTAAAAACAAAATCTATTCTTTAATCATCGCATTATGACTGTATGACTACTGAACATATGAAATATGGAGGGGCATCTGTGTCAAAATATATGTGTGGCATGGGGTTGAACGTATCAGTGCCACAATACTTCGACCATTTTCTGAATAATGTTTACATGTATGCCCGTTCAACATGCACTTTCCTGCATACTAGCCACTTTCTTTCTGCCTCTCCCCCTCTTGCGCTGTCTCCCTCTTCGTCTGTCTGTCTGTCTCTCCGCCTGTCTGTTTCTCCATAATGGACTAACGACCTTAAGGTATACTATCACGGATAATGACCCACAAGTTTTACCTGGGCATGGATTGTCATTGCAGGTTTCGGTATCAGTAGTTTCGGTATCCCCAACACAGTCATTTCCACCATGCATAGGACGTGGGTTCGTACATGATCTAGTATAGGTCAGAATCTTTTCACCTCCTCCACATGATGTTGAACAATCACCAGTAGCAGATAATTCATACTCAGTCCAATCTCCATGAACTGTAAAGAGAGTACGGAAGTAATCTTTAATTTACTTAACAGATAATTCAAGTTATAAAAGTGTTCCACACAACATAGCCCGAACAAACAATGTTGCTAGCAGTTTAATAGCAAATATTTTCACGAAGGACTAGAAAGGAAGAGGTCATCATTTAAATCGAAAGTTAACCGATCTGGTAATGGTTAGAATATGTTCGCCAACTCCACATGTTGAGCAACCGACAATACAGACTGGGACAACCCTCCATACAGTGTGCTATGCAGTGTGCTATGGCGGGCATTTTCCACTAAAGCACATCCGAGTTTTATTTCAATCCCAAGAACTAGTGGAGCATCGCGAATTGTTACATATTACTTAACATTTTAACTTCTGTCGTTTTTTTCGCGATTTTTAACCTTTTTTAAACTTAACGTCACGCAGTCCCAATTTAATCTTTTTTAAGATTTTGAAACCTGACACCCTATTCATTTGTTTGATATAATTTTTGTGTACCTGTTTTTCTTATTGATTTCATAAACGTAAGTTGAAAAACATCAATTTTGCTTGTTTTGACGTTATGGTAAAAAAATTTGCCACGCTTTGAAACGGGGGTACCCCACTTCAAGTGCTCGGCGGCAGTTATTATTATAATTTTTTTTTTCATTTTGATACCATTAGAAAGATAACTGAACGAACTTTCGATCGGTCGGTTATCGGATGTTGGCTTTTCAAAATACTATGTATTTTTTGTAAGTTGAATAAAGAATTCACGCTCACTTTTTATGAGACAAATTGTCAAAATTCCATAACCGATCGATTGAAGTTCATTTCATTGCCTTTCCAATGCTATTATAATCAATAAAATCGAAACATGTTAAGTGCGCCGAGCACTTGAAAATGGTATATACCGGGAAATATTGTTGAAAAGATATCTCGTATTTTTCCGTGTTATGACGTCATTAGTCACGGTAAAGAAAAACTGCATTTTAAGTTCCCAAGACCCTTATTCACGGTAAATTACGTCGAAATGCAAGTGAATGTTCATTTATGAAGCAATTGTTATGTTGTATGTATAAAGGACTTGCCTATAATAACAATAGCTAATTCCATTTTATTTTCACTGACTCATATTCCCACGGTTATATCGAACGGACATTTCCTCCCAGCTCCCACACGTCTTTACGTTTTCACACCAAATATATTTCAACAATTGAAAGATTCCTTAACATTGACTTGTATTTCAGTGTTCTGGAATAAGAAATTCGCTGTTCACTGAATTATTCATGCCTAGTTTAAAGCATTTACTTTGCACAAGAATGGAATTGAAACCGGAAAATATCCACACGGGTCTCGGAAAGGCATCATTACATTCCGCAGCTGTGAGGGAAGACAACTTAAACTTTTAAACGGATAATATATACGATTTCTATCCACTTAAAATGGGATTATACCAAATAAAGTTGGAACAACAAAATAATTAACGCTAGCTAAGAATAATTTAACTAATGGCTTAATTCTGGATTTACCGTTGGCGATTTACAACATTTCGTTTGAGTTTGAGATGATGGAACCAACATAAAATTAATTAGGCCAGTCATGTCGATACGGACACCGAATTGTCGCAAAGCCGTTTATTAAATGATTTAACATAAAAGTTGTCATACTATTTATTATAATTTCAATGGTTTGTTTTTAGGGTAAAATAACACCTCAAGCATTATGTATTTGTTGGCCATTAAACAAATTGAAACTACCGACAAACGTAAGGCCTTTACTCTTAGGCCTTGATTTGATATTCACATTGTTGAAAATATACAAAATAAAAAGGAAATTGCTCAATTCGACTACATACAGATTTGAAGGAATATTGAAAATTCAAAAGTGAAGTAAAAACAAAATCTATTCTTTAATCATCGCATTATGACTGTATGACTACTGAACATATGAAATATGGAGGGGCATCTGTGTCAAAATATATGTGTGGCATGGGGTTGAACGTATCAGTGCCACAATACTTCGACCATTTTCTGAATAATGTTTACATGTATGCCCGTTCAACATGCACTTTCCTGCATACCAGCCACTTTCTTTCTGCCTCTCCCCCTCTTGCGCTGTCTCCCTCTTCGTCTGTCTGTCTGTCTCTCCGCCTGTCTGTTTCTCCATAATGGACTAACGACATTAAGGTATACTATCACGGATAATGACCCACAAGTTTTACCTGGGCATGGATTGTCATTGCAGGTTTCGGTATCAGTAGTTTCGGTATCCCCAACACAGTCATTTCCACCATGCATAGGACGTGGGTTCGTACATGATCTAGTATAGGTCAGAATCTTTTCACCTCCTCCACATGATGTTGAACAATCACCAGTAGCAGATAATTCATACTCAGTCCAATCTCCATGAACTGTAAAGAGAGTACGGGAGTAATCTTTAATTTACTTAACAGATAATTCAAGTTATAAAAGTGTTCCACACAACATAGCCCGAACAAACAATGTTGCTAGCAGTTTAATAGCAAATATTTTCACGAAGGACTAGAAAGGAAGAGGTCATCATTTAAATCGAAAGTTAACCGATCTGGTAATGGTTAGAATATGTTCGCCAACTCCACATGTTGAGCAACCGACAATACAGACTGGGACAACCCTCCATACAGTGTGCTATGCAGTGTGCTATGGCGGGCATTTTCCACTAAAGCACATCCGAGTTTTATTTCAATCCCAAGAACTAGTGGAGCATCGCGAATTGTTACATATTACTTAACATTTTAACTTCTGTCGTTTTTTTTCGCGATTTTTAACCTTTTTTAAACTTAACGTCACGCAGTCCCAATTTAATCTTTTTTAAGATTTTGAAACCTGACACCCTATTCATTTGTTTGATATAATTTTTGTGTGCCTGTTTTTCTTATTGATTTCATAAACGTAAGTTGAAAAACATCAATTTTGCTTGTTTTGACGTTATGGTAAAAAATTTTGCCACGCTTTGAAACGGGGGTACCCCACTTCAAGTGCTCGGCGGCAGTTATTATTATAATTTTTTTTTTCATTTTGATACCATTAGAAAAATAACTGAACGAACTTTCGATCGGTCGGTTATCGGATGTTGGCTTTTCAAAATACTATGTATTTTTTGTAAGTTGAATAAAGAATTCACGCTCACTTTTTATGAGACAAATTGTCAAAATTCCATAACCGATCGCTTGAAGTTCATTTCATTGCCTTTCCAATGCTATTATAATCAATAAAATCGAAACATGTTAAGTGCGCCGAGCACTTGAAAATGGTATATACCGGGAAATATTTTTGAAAAGATGTCTCGTATTTTTCCGTGTTATGACGTCATTAGTCACGGTAAAGAAAAACTGCATTTTAAGTTCCCAAGACCCTTATTCACGGTAAATTACGTCGAAATGCAAGTGAATGTTCATTTATGAAGCAATTGTTATGTTGTATGTATAAAGGACTTGCCTATAATAACAATAGCTAATTCCATTTTATTTTCACTGACTCATATTCCCACGGTTATATCGAACGGAAATTTCCTCCCAGCTCCCACACGTCTTTACACCAAATATTTTTCAACAATTGAAAGATTCCTTAACATTGACTTGTAGTTCAGTGTTCTGGAATAAGAAATTCGCTGTTCACTGAATTATTCATGCCTAGTTTAAAGCATTTACTTTGCACAAGAATGGAATTGAAACCGGAAAATATCCACACGGGTCTCGGAAAGTCATCATTACATTCCGCAGCTGTGAGGGAAGACAACTTAAACTTTTAAACGGATAATATATACGATTTCTATCCACTTAAAATGGGATTATACCAAATAAAGTTGGAACAACAAAATAATTAACGCTAGCTAAGAATAATTTAACTAATGGCTTAATTCTGGATTTACCGTTGGCGATTTACAACATTTCGTTTGAGTTTGAGATGATGGAACCAACATAAAATTAATTAGGCCAGTCATGTCGATACGGACACCGAATTGTCGCAAAGCCGTTTATTAAATGATTTAACATAAAAGTTGTCATACTATTTATTATAATTTCAATGGTTTGTTTTTAGGGTAAAATAACACCTCAAGCATTATGTATTTGTTGGCCATTAAACAAATTGAAACTACCGACAAACGTAAGGCCTTTACTATTAGGCCTTGATTTGATATTCACATTGTTGAAAATATACAAAATAAAAAGGAAATTGCTCAATTCGACTACATACAGATTTGAAGGAATATTGAAAATTCAAAAGTGAAGTAAAAACAAAATCTATTCTTTAATCATCGCATTATGACTGTATGACTACTGAACATATGAAATATGGAGGGGCATCTGTGTCAAAATATATGTGTGGCATGGGGTTGAACGTATCAGTGCCACAATACTTCGACCATTTTCTGAATAATGTTTACATGTATGCCCGTTCAACATGCACTTTCCTGCATACCAGCCACTTTCTTTCTGCCTCTCCCCCTCTTGCGCTGTCTCCCTCTTCGTCTGTCTGTCTCTCCGCCTGTCTGTTTCTCCATAATGGACTAACGACATTAAGGTATACTATCACGGATAATGACCCACAAGTTTTACCTGGGCATGGATTGTCATTGCAGGTTTCGGTATCAGTAGTTTCGGTATCCCCAACACAGTCATTTCCACCATGCATAGGACGTGGGTTCGTACATGATCTAGTATAGGTCAGAATCTTTTCACCTCCTCCACATGATGTTGAACAATCACCAGTAGCAGATAATTCATACTCAGTCCAATCTCCATGAACTGTAAAGAGAGTACGGAAGTAATCTTTAATTTACTTAACAGATAATTCAAGTTATAAAAGTGTTCCACACAACATAGCCCGAACAAACAATGTTGCTAGCAGTTTAATAGCAAATATTTTCACGAAGGACTAGAAAGGAAGAGGTCATCATTTAAATCGAAAGTTAACCGATCTGGTAATGGTTAGAATATGTTCGCCAACTCCACATGTTGAGCAACCGACAATACAGACTGGGACAACCCTCCATACAGTGTGTTATGCAGTGTGCTATGGCGGGCATTTTCCACTAAAGCACATCCGAGTTTTATTTCAATCCCAAGAACTAGTGGAGCATCGCGAATTGTTACATATTACTTAACATTTTAACTTCTGTCGTTTTTTTCGCGATTTTTAACCTTTTTTAAACTTAACGTCACGCAGTCCCAATTTAATCTTTTTTAAGATTTTGAAACCTGACACCCTATTCATTTGTTTGATATAATTTTTGTGTACCTGTTTTTCTTATTGATTTCATAAACGTAAGTTGAAAAACATCAATTTTGCTTGTTTTGACGTTATGGTAAAAAATTTTGCCACGCTTTGAAACGGGGGTACCCCACTTCAAGTGCCTGGCGGCAGTTATTATTATAATTTTTTTTTTCATTTTGATACCATTAGAAAGATAACTGAACGAACTTTCGATCGGTCGGTTATCGGATGTTGGCTTTTCAAAATACTATGTATTTTTTGTAAGTTGAATAAAGAATTCACGCTCACTTTTTATGAGACAAATTGTCAAAATTCCATAACCGATCGATTGAAGTTCATTTCATTGCCTTTCCAATGCTATTATAATCAATAAAATCGAAACATGTTAAGTGCGCCGAGCACTTGAAAATGGTATATACCGGGAAATATTGTTGAAAAGATATCTCGTATTTTTCCGTGTTATGACGTCATTAGTCACGGTAAAGAAAAACTGCATTTTAAGTTCCCAAGACCCTTATTCACGGTAAATTACGTCGAAATGCAAGTGAATGTTCATTTATGAAGCAATTGTTATGTTGTATGTATAAAGGACTTGCCTATAATAACAATAGCTAATTCCATTTTATTTTCACTGACTCATATTCCCACGGTTATATCGAACGGAAATTTCCTCCCAGCTCCCACACGTCTTTACGTTTTCACACCAAATATTTTTCAACAATTGAAAGATTCCTTAACATTGACTTGTATTTCAGTGTTCTGGAATAAGAAATTCGCTGTTCACTGAATTATTCATGCCTAGTTTAAAGCATTTACTTTGCACAAGAATGGAATTGAAACCGGAAAATATCCACACGGGTCTCGGAAAGTCATCATTACATTCCGCAGCTGTGAGGGAAGACAACTTAAACTTTTAAACGGATAATATATACGATTTCTATCCACTTAAAATGGGATTATACCAAATAAAGTTGGAACAACAAAATAATTAACGCTAGCTAAGAATAATTTAACTAATGGCTTAATTCTGGATTTACCGTTGGCGATTTACAACATTTTGTTTGAGTTTGAGATGATGGAACCAACATAAAATTAATTAGGCCAGTCATGTCGATACGGACACCGAATTGTCGCAAAGCCATTTATTAAATTATTTAACATAAAAGTTGTCATACTATTTATTATAATTTCAATGGTTTGTTTTTAGGGTAAAATAACACCTCAAGCATTATGTATTTGTTGGCCATTAAACAAATTGAAACTACCGACAAACGTAAGGCCTTTACTCTTAGGCCTTGATTTGATATTCACATTGTTGAAAATATACAAAATAAAAAGGAAATTGCTCAATTCGACTACATACAGATTTGAAGGAATATTGAAAATTCAAAAGTGAAGTAAAAACAAAATCTATTCTTTAATCATCGCATTATGACTGTATGACTACTGAACATATGAAATATGGAGGGGCATCTGTGTCAAAATATATGTGTGGCATGGGGTTGAACGTATCAGTGCCACAATACTTCGACCATTTTCTGAATAATGTTTACATGTATGCCCGTTCAACATGCACTTTCCTGCATACTAGCCACTTTCTTTCTGCCTCTCCCCCTCTTGCGCTGTCTCCCTCTTCGTCTGTCTGTCTGTCTCTCCGCCTGTCTGTTTCTCCATAATGGACTAACGACCTTAAGGTATACTATCACGGATAATGACCCACAAGTTTTACCTGGGCATGGATTGTCATTGCAGGTTTCGGTATCAGTAGTTTCGGTATCCCCAACACAGTCATTTCCACCATGCATAGGACGTGGGTTCGTACATGATCTAGTATAGGTCAGAATCTTTTCACCTTCACCACATGATGTTGAACAATCACCAGTAGCAGATAATTCATACTCAGTCCAATCTCCATGAACTGTAAAGAGAGTACGGAAGTAATCTTTAATTTACTTAACAGATAATTCAAGTTATAAAAGTGTTCCACACAACATAGCCCGAACAAACAATGTTGCTAGCAGTTTAATAGCAAATATTTTCACGAAGGACTAGAAAGGAAGAGGTCATCATTTAAATCGAAAGTTAACCGATCTGGTAATGGTTAGAATATGTTCGCCAACTCCACATGTTGAGCAACCGACAATACAGACTGAGACAACCCTCCATACAGTGTGCTATGCAGTGTGCTATGGCGGGCATTTTCCACTAAAGCACATCCGAGTTTTATTTCAATCCCAAGAACTAGTGGAGCATCGCGAATTGTTACATATTACTTAACATTTTAACTTCTGTCGTTTTTTTCGCGATTTTTAACCTTTTTTAAACTTAACGTCACGCAGTCCCAATTTAATCTTTTTTAAGATTTTGAAACCTGACACCCTATTCATTTGTTTGATATAATTTTTGTGTGCCTGTTTTTCTTATTGATTTCATAAACGTAAGTTGAAAAACATAAATTTTGCTTGTTTTGACGTTATGGTAAAAATTTTTGCCACGCTTTGAAACGGGGGTACCCCACTTCAAGTGCTTGGCGGCAGTTATTATTATAATTTTTTTTTTCATTTTGATACCATTAGAAAGATAACTGAACGAACTTTCGATCGGTCGGTTATCGGATGTTGGCTTTTCAAAATACTATGTATTTTTTGTAAGTTGAATAAAGAATTCACGCTCACTTTTTATGAGACAAATTGTCAAAATTCCATAACCGATCGATTGAAGTTCATTTCATTGCCTTTCCAATGCTATTATAATCAATAAAATCGAAACATGTTAAGTGCGCCGAGCACTTGAAAATGATATATACCGGGAAATATTGTTGAAAAGATATCTCGTATTTTTCCGTGTTATGGCGTCATTAGTCACGGTAAAGCAAAACTGCATTTTAAGTTCCCAAGACCCATATTCACGGTAAATTACATCGAAATGCAAGTGAATGTTCATTTATGAAGCAATTGTTATTTTGTATGTATAAAATAAAGGACTTGCCTAAAAACACATATACATAACGATAGCTAATTCCATTTTATTTTCACTGGGTCAACCGTGTTGATATCACGTGACTCATATTCCCGCGCTTATATCAAAGGGAAATCCCCCCCCCCCCCCAGTTCCCACACGTCTTTACTTTTTAACACCAAATTCGCTGTTCACTGAATTATTCATGCCTAGTTTAAAGCTTTTACTTTAAAGTACACGAATGGAATTGAAACCGGAAAATATCCACACGGGTCTCGGAAAGTCATCATTACATTCCGCAGCTGTGAGGGAAGACAACTTAAACTTTTGTACGTATATATACTCTTCCAAAAATGTAGGGGATATTCAGAAAAGAATACAAAACTGCGGAAATGCACCGCTGTTTTTATTAGAGGTAACCAGTGTATGTTAATAACAGTCCAATTGCCTAAACAGGAACATAAACAGTTCATATGGACGGCTTATCTGACGGCCCCATTTCACCCTCAAAGAGATACACTGTCAAAAGTGAAAATGGACGTTTTTGATTTTTATCTTAATAATGAGCAATTGCTCCACCAATCCTCAAAAATTTAGCAATTTGTCGTAGCATGCTCCTAATCAACCGTCCAATCTCGATTTGGGGCAATCTGACCCACTCCTTTTGCAGTGCCAAGGCCAATTCTTGCAGTGTTGCCGGTTGACGTTGACGTCGACGAACACGTCTCCCGATCAAATTAAACGTAACACACTAAAGCAAAGATACGCTAAACAGTAAATCTTATGCAAGAACCGATTGGAAAGCAAACACGGATAGGATAAACCAGCAAGCGGCAGTTTTCATCAACCCTTCCTTGAAGTGTCAAATTTGACAATTACCCCCCACCCCACCCACGTCGATGGCGCTATTGCGCGTTGCACATGCAGCTCAGTGGTTCTGTTGGGGCGATAAGTTCTTCATCTGTTAACATACTCTCAAAGCCTGTCAAGTGTCCATGATTATTTATCATATCACAACCTGCATAGGTATTTGCATTTCAATATCCCCTACTTGTTTTGAAGAGTATACATGTATATACGATTTCTACCCACTTAAAAGGGAATTATACCCAAATAAAGTGGGAACAACAAAAATTTAAAGAATTAAAGCTAGCTAAGAATAATTTAACTAATGGCTCATATTCTGGATTTACCGTTGGCGATTTACAACATTTGAGATGATGGAACCAACATAAAATTAATTTCACTCCATGTAAAATCCTGACACAGGATCTGACGGAGAGCAAATGGTGACATCGACGGAAGAAAAAGAAGCTGTGACAGGATGTAGATAAGTAGGCGAGTCACAATTGAATAAACACAAATTATTAAGGTTAATGAAGCCCGCTATTTGTTTACCTCTGTTATCATCTGGACTACCCCAAAGGGAATGGTGACCATTGGAATCTCCCGTAATTATATACGGGAGGGTAAGTTGAGCAACAAGGTCGTCAAGATCTTTGGGGTTCAGATGTAAACTTGGAGGAAGATAAATAGAGCAGAGTGTTATAGGAATATGAAGAGTCACTATAACTGCAACAGTCTGTAAAGGCGAGTTGAGCGTGACTCGACTCCGAGGGATATCTCCATTAAGAATAATAGAAACACCTCCATGAGCTCTACTATCATTAAATGAGTGCTGGTGGTAACCAACAAAATGTCTGAAAGACAAATTATTGTCAGAATCTCTCAAAAACTAAAGAGTTCTACTTTTGAATTAACAATTGGAAATCCACTACGGCAATACGTTCCATTTGATCAACAACATATTTTTTATAGACAGGGATAGGGATTTGTGAACCCCTTTTCACTCTCTCTTTAAATTTTGCTAACCTCCTCTTTTTTTCCCGGAGGAGAAAATTTGGTCCCGAGAGGGTTAGATACCCTTCAGCTGCGAACCTGATTAAGCAGAACTAGAATCAAGAGCGATAGCTTCAGCTGAAGGCGAGGTATGCGACCCCTTGCCATTTTGGGCTGAAGTGTTAAACTCCTTCAGGTTACGGCAAGGAAGATGACCCCTCCTGATGCAAATTATTAATAGTTTGAACGAGCTCTCTCGCGTCAGAGAGGAGCTCGATAACCCTTGATCTGATATGATTTTTGGCATTTCTTCTTTATATGGACAGGTCTGTCTGTCTGAATAGAAATAGTTTTACTAGAAACTTTAACTGTACTTGCGTAAGTTTTGTCCTTGTGGTGTAATGGTAAATAGTGTAGTATACTTGCTTACGAGCATCGAAATATGACATCTTTCGTTCAGACATCACCTGTTAGGGTCGTTTCTCCTGCAAAATTGGAAATTCGCGTAAGTAAGCAACGTGCTTACCCATGGAATTCATACAACAAAAATCCGCCCGACAAGTAGCGCTCTCGTGTCTATCATGACCACAGCGAGAGCAGGTGTATTTACCTCTACAGACGGTTTTGCTGTATCCAAATATTTGGCATTTATAACAGCGAAGGGTGTTAGAAATATACGAATCAACAGGTATATGTTAAGATACCCTGCCTTGAGAATCTTTGGTATTTCGTCGGGACGATTTAAAGTTAGGATATAGGTTCTTGTAGCAATCACCTTATCTCCCCGGCATACGCTAACACTTTTAAGTCCCGCCTTAGGAGGAAAGGTATTCAACCATTTGATCCCCACTGCTGCCTTCAAGATCCCGACAGCGAATAACTCCTCTATTGAATTTAACGACTTATGCGGCGACACCTTAATAGGAATGTCTTCTAAGAGTGCTGATTTAAGCAGCATGGTGGCATGCTGTTCCTTAGCACATTCTATCATGAGAGTTTATGATTGAGTTTTTTAATAGCCCTCGGCTCACCGGCCAAGCCAGCAATGCCGTTGGTTATGAAAGTTTTGAAAGGTCTGTAGAGGAACTCGCAATTAAGTGGAATCTCGGTCATGCCTTTGATATGTTTTGTATTATGAAATCAATTAGAAAAATCCGCTGTATTAGGACGCTTCTGTTCATTAATTCTTTCTATGATTGGGGTGATGGTGGGGTTGGGGAATCCATGAATATTAGTTTTTTGATTCACCCCTCATCGTCCCCCAGGTTACTTTCCTGCCTACGAGGTTCGCGGCCTCAGGGCGCGACGGGGGGTATACTCAAGCCAGAAAGTAAAAAACTACTCCAACCCGATTGACCCCAACCGTCACTCTGTAGAACATACAAAGGTATATTTGCTGGGTGAAAAATACAACAAAGCATTGGAATTAAGATTGTACATTATGCAGAGCTAAAACGACCAAAGCCGATTGAGCAGAGTGGGCCACTCCGACCTCTCGTCTACGTGAACCATGGACCAAAGTAATGTGTTGCAGAGAATGGGCTCGCAAGCCAAATCCCCACTCAATTACCAGGATTCCACTTTATACCGACACGTTGCCCCATCACAGTGATCCTGACGGGTATATTCTTATCACACCCTACACCCCAGGGGGATGGGGTTATTTAGGCCAAAATGTAGCAGTCTCATTGCTGCATTTACAATCGAGACTATGAGGTATTATATGGAAAATACCTCGTGCATATATGCAGCATATCCTGACAACGAGAAAGCCTTTAATGGAGTTTGGACTAACAGATAACTCTATAAACTATTTAATATTGGTATAAGAGGTAGATATAGGAGGTTATCAAAAGCTCATATCAAGAGATAGTTTAAGTACCGTACTCGTCAATGGTGTCTATTGTTAAAATACTTAGACGAGATCACAAACAGAAAATTATGTTTAACAGGAAAAAATTAAAGCATTCAGGTATCTCAATATCTGATGACATGACCTTCAGAAATGTTCGATTACTAACCAAAATGAATGCTCATTCTAGTGTTAAGAATGCGTGGTTTGCAAATGGGAAGATTTTTATTGGGGGACATCAAGGTAACTCGTGCAAGCTACAACCAGAT